TTTTGCTGATTTGAAAGGGAGATTAAATATGTTTAGGGAGCTTGGATTGTTGATGGCTACTAATCTGATGGGTACATACAGAATCACAAGCAGCATAATTTGAAGTTATTGTGTAATAACAGCAGAATTGGGCTAATGCCTATCCCTTGTTTACTCTCACGACCCTATAAAATGCCTTAACTGGCCACTGCATGACCCAAAATACTGAAATTAGATGAGCCTTTGGAATACAGAAATCAAGCAACGCAGTTACATTGTCATATTATCTGGCCTCTTAATTATAGAGATGCACAGAAGAGAATGTGGGCTACTTATGTTGGGACAACTCATAACAATCTGTCAGCCTCCCATATGGTGAACATCATTAGAAGCTGCCTTATACCATGTTAGGTCATTAGTGCATGTAATTAAGTAATATCGGCTTGATTCACTGAGTCTATTGGAGTTTAGGCAGAACAGAATTTTCTCTTTATGTTTGAAGTTGAGATATACGGAAGATACAAAATGCATGTTATACATAAAATTAATTTTTACAATATTGTTTCAATAGCTGTGAGATATTGTTACGACCTAACCAGACACTTCATCTTTTTGATACTTTTTTTCACAGAGAAGAGGACATCAACCTACTCTCCAAAGCATCTGAAAATAGTTCGAGAAGTAAAGGGTGGAAGATCATTAAAAAGAGATACAAGCAGTAATGGGATTCAACATTTTTTACTACTGGTTCTGTGAGTGTAGCTTGGTGGGCATGGCAGGAGAAGCATATTGTAAAATATCTATTCCCTCCCCGCTCCAGGGGAAGGATACTGCAAAATTCCCATTTCCTCCCTGTCCACTGGGACTTGGGAGGCAGAGAATAGATGGGGGTGGGGCCAGTCAGAGATGGTATTTACCACTTCTCCGAACCACTCAAAATTTCTGCTATCGGTTCTCCAGAGCTGGTCGGAACCTGCTGAATCCTGCTTCTGGATACAAGGTAGAACTAAGGAGAACTTTCCTGACAGTAAGAACAATTAATCAGTGGAATGGCTTAGCTGTGTAAGTTGTGCGTGCTCCATCACCGTTTTTAAGAAGAGTCTGGACAGTCTTTTGTCCAGAATGGCATATGATCTCTTGCCATGGGCAGGGAATTGGACTAGAAGACTTCCAAGATCTGCTTCCTATTATTCTATGATCTATGGGCTTTCTGGATTGTCGATCAGATCGGTGATGACAGAATCTGATCAACGAAAGTTTAATATTGAATTGATGCCACATAAGTGTAAATGGAATTCCGGAGAGTTTAGATTTGGAGAGCTTGTAGGCATGCAATGACTCTATGCTGATGACATGCTTAACTCTGCCCCCAGCAATGCCTGTCCTTCTCCTATAGAGTGATAATTCAACACTAAAAGTACTACAGTATAATGTAATACAGTGCACTAATACTGATGGTTATAGACTCTTAGTAAGACAACGCACCACAGAATCCTAATAATATAAATATAAATAAGTTATAAGAAGTAAAATATAAGTAAAATAATTGTCAGCCCTGGAGGCCATATTTTCTTTTGGATTTTCAGGGCTACCACACACAGTGCTGTAGAAAACTGGGATAATAATAATAAGTAAAAAATAAATCATTCACATCACTATCAGTATTTCCATTTTATTATCTCCACACTCTTTTACAGACCTTGAATTCCCTGGGGATCTTTTGGTGAACTAGTCAAATTCAACTTCACGTTGCTGTGATTTCAGCACGGTAAAGCAGGTACAGTTGCCAAGGTAAATTAGATACATCCTATTCTAATTCATCAGGCACTTCCATTCAGTGGGTCATGCAATCATGCAATTCAATCCTGTACAAAATCCAAATGATGCAATCTACTATTTTTCTTCTGGAATATATCCATTTTACCATACCAATTATGGTGAGTAGTTTTCTAAAGTAAACCTTCTGGAACAGAAAGCAATCTGTCCAGTTTTGGAGTCACATCATCCTTTCATCTACTTTCAAATGAAGTTATTCCGTTCTGAGCATGAAAAGAGATTTAATTTATTAAATGATAATTCTCATTTAATGACTGTCTTGTAGACTGGCTATTCAGAGTTGCCAGGAAGAAGAAAATGTAACTTTATGACTAATCTCTCACGAATGAAGGCAAATATATGTGTCCAGTGGTGAAATTCAATTTTTTTTACTACCGGTTCTGTGAGCATGGCAGGGGAAGGAGACTGCAAAATCTTTGTTCCCTCCCCACTCGGGGGCCAGCCAGAGGTGGTATTTGCCGGTTCTCCTAAATACTCAAAATTTTGGCTACCGGCTCTTCAGAACCTGTTCAAACCTGCTGTATTTCACCCCTGTATGTGTCCCAGGATAATGTTGCAGGATCCAATTTAGGTCAGCCACCAGGACCAGAGGTTTTGTCTTCCAAGCTTTCGGACTCATTCTGGAGCCCATCTTCAGAGAACTTCTCTCTACCAACCCAGATTGGATCCTGAATCAATCTTCTCATCTACAACTTTCACAGGTCTATAAAGCAAAGGACAGCTGAAGTAAGGCTACATGCTCAATAATGGCTTCACTTAGCAACTTCTTTGCTTAACAAGTGAGTTGCTAATCCCAATTGTGGTTGCTAAAAGATATCTGCCTATATTTTGTAAGCATGTTTATTTAGAAAAGATGTGTTTTTTTTATTATCATTACATAAGCCATGGTGGCTCAGTGGTTAGAGTGCAGAACTCAAGTAGTAATAACTGAAGTAGTATTAGTACTCCACTACTTCTGCTGACTGTCGGCTGCCTGAAATTGGGCAGTTCAAATTTCACCAGGCTCAAGGTTGACTCAGCCTTCCATCCTTCCAAGGTGAGTAAAATGAGGACCCAAATTGTTGGGGACAATATGGTGGCTCTGTAAACCACTTAGAGAGGGCTGTAAAGCATGTAAAGCAGTATATAAATCTAAGTGCTACTGCCATTGCTGTTAAATTTAATTTATTGTCCGCGCAATTCCAGTGGACTCTGGATGGCATACAATATGAAATTAAACATAAAAAATAGCTAAAAGCATTAAATCAATAAACAGCCCAGACTAAAACAATCTCTCTTTTTTTCCTCCTTTCATTCAATTGTGCTCAATTCTCAGAGACTGCCTGTTTTCTTGGGGCATTCTTTTCAGAAGTGGTTTATCATTGCCTCATTCTTGGGCTGAGAGAAAGTGACTGGCCCAATGCATACAGCTGGCTTTGTGCTTAAGGCTGGACCAAAACTCAGTCTTCCAGTTTCGAGCCTGTTGCCTTAACTCATATACCAAATTGGATTTCTTAAAATAATCCAACAGACAGCAAAATCAACCAAGCAAGACAGGGCAATTTTACTTAAACTTATAATATGTCACAGAGCTTATGATACTATGAGATACATATGCAGAGGACAGTATACCAAATAATTACATATCCTAGAAATGGTGCTTTCATTAATTGAAAATATATGTAATTCAGGGGTGAACTGTTGGGTTGTTGGAAATCTCTGAACTTTGTTGTTTTCCTGCAGGCATCTTGTTACCAGGCTGGGTAACATTATCAGTCTTTATTTATTTATTTGTCTTGTATGCCGCCCACTACCGGAGGACTCCGGGCGGCTCACAAAAGACAAGGGAAAGGGGGGAACAAGACAAAGACAACATATTAAAAACAAAACCAACATTCACAATTTCTATGGAGGTAGATGCTTCTCAGCTCCCCCCAGCCTGCTGGAACAGCCAGGACTTGGTGGCTTTGCGGAAGGCCGGGAGGGTAGTAAGGATACAGATCTCAACAGGGAGCTCGTTCCAGAGGGCCGGACCTGCAACAGAGAAGGCCCTCCCCCGGGGAGTCGCCAGCCGACATTGGCTGGCAGATGGAATCCAGAGGAGACCCAACCTGTGCAATCTAATTGGCGTGAGAGAGGTAATCGGCAGGAGGCGGTCTCTCAGGTACCCAGGTCCGATGCCATGTAGGGCTTTATAGGTAGCGACCAGCACCTTGAAGCGGATTCGGAGACTAATAGGTAGCCAGTGCAGCTCGCGGAGGATAGGTGTAACGTGGGTGTACCTTGGTGCACCCACAATCGCTCGCGCGGCTGCATTCTGGACTAATTGGAGTCTGTAAGCAAGTTCAGGTAATATCAAGATCCACTAACTAACTATACTTTCTCCTTGTAGAAAGGAAGAGGAAGGAGAAAATTTCATTTAAATCACGACTGCATTTCTCCTCCTGGGCTGTTAATCTAAACTCTCAATTTTATGTTTATTTCTGGAATTTTCACAATGGCTATAATAATTCTGTTTAAGAAAATAAATAAATAAACCTCTTAGAGTGGAAGGCTTTCTGTTTTTAAGAAGAAAAGAACAGGAAAGTAATTTTCTCCCATCATTCCACCATTGTAACTTTTTAAAGTGAAGTGTTCCCTTACCTGGTGGATTTGAAGAAAAAAAAAACATTGACTGACATGTACGTATTTATTTATTTACCTTCGGTTTAATAGTTCAGCTGAACCACAATCAGCAATTCCATTGCTTTGCTGTAGGGAAAAGGCAAGCTGAAATCTTTTGAGAAATATAATAAAATAAAGCAAAGTCAATCATAGTTTTTATGAAATGCTGCCCAGATATATTTTAGCTTTTTTGGACTGAGGCAACCATAGCTCAACTGAAATGAGGTCAAAATGATGTGCAATGTCATGATCCAAACTCCAGCCTTACATATGTATATCCTGGTTAAGTCCACGTACTTCCAGGGCTTGTCTAGGGAGTCATACACAGTCATACCTGGCCAGACAATGACCACTGTTCGCTGTTGGTTGGGAAGAGCCACCTTAATAATGCTCCAATTCTCAGCCATGGGCCTCCTTCCTATCCTTCTCCTGCAAGAAGCAATCACCGTTGTCAGGCTACTCGAGAAAGGTAAGATGTCCTCACTGCTACCCCCATTTGAAGGATCTCGATCTGGAGAAGGTGAGGAGAAGCCATTGGAGAGCGAGTCGGCGGAGTGTAGGTTACGCCTCATGTGGGTGATTCTGTCAATCAAGCCAAGTTTCTGCTTAGACACAGCTGTGTCTGGAGTGGAGGCAGCTCTTTGTACCGATATTTTTTTTTCCTTATGAAAGGGAAACGAGAGCTGGAGTGAAGGTAAGTTCGTTCACAAAGGGTTCCACCACAAAAGCGCGGAGGACAAAATCTCGCTCGACGAAAGCGCGCATTTGACGTCATCACCGCGCGACGAAAACATCGCGCTGTGATCGAAAAATGTAAAAAAAAGCGAAAACCTTACCCTAACCCCCCCAAACCTAACCCTAAACCTAACCCTAATCCTACCCCTTAACCTAACCCTAAAC